ATGAATACATTATATTTATAATTATTATATTTTTTATTTATTTTTATACTGTTGTTATATTTATTTTTAAAACACCAACATATTACACAACGCTGTACAATAAATCTGACCTCTGCTTTACTTCAGTCTTCTATCTGACCTCCGTCCTTCCCTTCAGTCTTCTGTCTGACCTCCGTCCTTCCCTTCATTCTTCTGTCTGACCTCCGTCCTTCCCTTCAATCTTCTATCTGACCTCCGTCCTTCCCTTCAGCCTTCTATCTGACTTCCGTCCTTCCCTTCAGTCTTCTATCTGACCTCCGTCCTTCCCTTCAATCTTCTATCTGACCTCCGTCCTTCCTATCAGTCTTATATCTGACCTCTGTTCTTCCCTTCAGTCTTCTATCTGACCTCCGTCCTTCCCTTCAGTCTTCTATCTGACCTCCGTCCTTCCCTTCATTCTTCTGTCTGACCTCCGTCCTTCCCTTCAGTCTTCTATCTGACCTCCGTCCTTCCCTTCAGTCTTCTATCTGACACCCGTCCTCCCCTTCAGTCTTCTATCTGACCTCCCCTTCAGTCTTCTATCTGACCTCCGTCCTCCCCTTCAGTCTTCTATCTGACCTCCGTCCTCCCCTTCAGTCTTGCACAGTTGTACCGGCTCCTCTTCCTCTAAAGTCACTGCACACTGGGAGCTCCTCACAATGTGCATTAGAAGATGCAGCAAGTCAGACAGATCCCGCCTCATTTCCTGGCTGCAGGACATCCAGCATCATCTAGTACTTCCCTCCCCAGCCTGACAGTCCCTGGCCCCGCCCCTTTCATTCAGTGGATTTCAGTTCTTTTGATAATGGAGGTTCAGCATCATTTGTGGGCGTTACCTAAGGCGGTCTGCATGCAAATACATATTGCCTAGGACCCACCCACTCCATCACGGCATTTTTGTATTTGCATAACTCCTCCCAAGATTCAGCCCACTGCTTGCATCAGGACTGAGGCTATGTACAGCACCCTGCCGGCTCCTCCCACTAGCAAGGATCTGCTTAAATTGCATAGAGGAGCACAGAGACCCAGAAATGATGACACCGGGACTAAAACAAGCTGTGCAAATAAATTGGAGAGGATTTATTTAAAAATGTGATTAGCATATTGATGAGGGGGGGTGGAAGAGGAAGGGGGGTGGAAGAGGAGGGGGGGAGGGGAGGCAAAATATCAGCAGATGAAAGTTTAATGTTCTGGAATTTGGACTTTATGTCAAAACCTCCACCAGCAGCTCAATATGGGCCCCGTACTGCCGTCATTTTCCGGGCCCCTCAGGGACTCTGATTATGAGGTCTGAAGCCCGGGAATGTTTTATCTTCCTCCCGCGTGACACTTCCATCCCCCAATCCATAAATAAAAGGAATAAACCCGGCTCCGGCGTTATCTGTACTCGGCACCCATCCCTCCCCCAGGTTAAAACATCCTGTAGCTCTCTGTGCGGACCGCGTCCTGCGGAGGAAAAGAAGAAAATCCAATTACAATGTACAGATGATATCAGAGGAGCGGAGACCCCGAAATACAAATCATCCGTCCACAGAGATCAATGAGGAGAGAGAACGTGCCGAGATCCGGGCAGATCATGAGACATGTGACATTATTATAAGCTGACATTTAATCTGCCCTCCCCTCCCCTCCCCTCATCAATTACATTTTTAAACAAAACCTTTCCATTTCAATTACATATCTTAGGTCGTGGCTGGTTGGAGGGGCCGGCAGAGTGCTGTATATAGCTTCCTGAAAACATAACAGCACCCTTGGTACCAAGCACATGTACACACAATGAATGAAAGGGGCGGGGCCAGGGACAGTCAGGCTGTTGGGGGCCCCTGCCCACCCTGGACTGTGGGGGCTCTCGCCCACCCAGGATTGTTGGGGGCTCGCACCAACCCTGGACTGTTGGGGGTCTCCTGTCCATCTCTGGATTGTTAGCGCCGCGCCCACCTAATATGGAGCGTTGGGGGCTCCCGTCTACATAACATGGAGTGTTGGGGGCTTCCGCCCACCTAACATGGAGTGTTGGGGGCTCCCGCCCACCTAACATGGAGTGTTGGGGGCTCCCGCCTACATAATATAGAGCGTTGGGGGCTCCCGCCTACCGAATATGGAGCCTTGGGGCTCCCGCCCACCGAATCTGGAGCCTTGGGGGCTCCGGCCCACCGAATATGGAGTGTTGGGGGCTCCCGCCTACCGAATATGGAGCCTTGGGGCTCCCGCCCACCGAATCTGGAGCCTTGGGGGCTCCGGCCCACCGAATATGGAGTGTTGGGGGCTCCCGCCTACCGAATATGGAGCCTTGGGGCTCCCGCCCACCGAATCTGGAGCCTTGGGGGCTCCGGCCCACCGAATATGGAGTGTTGGGGGCTCCCGCCTACCGAATATGGAGCCTTGGGGCTCCCGCCCACCGAATCTGGAGCCTTGGGGGCTCCGGCCCACCGAATATGGAGTGTTGGGGGCTCCCGCCTACCGAATATGGAGCCTTGGGGCTCCCGCCCACCGAATCTGGAGCCTTGGGGGCTCCGGCCCACCGAATATGGAGTGTTGGGGGCTCCCGCCTACCGAATATGGAGCCTTGGGGCTCCCGCCCACCGAATCTGGAGCCTTGGGGGCTCCGGCCCACCGAATATGGAGTGTTGGGGGCTCCCGCCTACCGAATATGGAGCCTTGGGGCTCCCGCCCACCGAATCTGGAGCCTTGGGGGCTCCGGCCCACCGAATATGGAGTGTTGGGGGCTCCCGCCTACCGAATATGGAGCCTTGGGGCTCCCGCCCACCGAATCTGGAGCCTTGGGGGCTCCGGCCCACCGAATATGGAGTGTTGGGGGCTCCCGCCTACCGAATATGGAGCCTTGGGGCTCCCGCCCACCGAATCTGGAGCCTTGGGGGCTCCGGCCCACCGAATATGGAGTGTTGGGGGCTCCCGCCTACCGAATATGGAGCCTTGGGGCTCCCGCCCACCGAATCTGGAGCCTTGGGGGCTCCGGCCCACCGAATATGGAGTGTTGGGGGCTCCCGCCTACCGAATATGGAGCCTTGGGGCTCCCGCCCACCGAATCTGGAGCCTTGGGGGCTCCGGCCCACCGAATATGGAGTGTTGGGGGCTCCCGCCTACCGAATATGGAGCCTTGGGGCTCCCGCCCACCGAATCTGGAGCCTTGGGGGCTCCGGCCCACCGAATATGGAGTGTTGGGGGCTCCCGCCTACCGAATATGGAGCCTTGGGGCTCCCGCCCACCGAATCTGGAGCCTTGGGGGCTCCGGCCCACCGAATATGGAGTGTTGGGGGCTCCCGCCTACCGAATATGGAGCCTTGGGGCTCCCGCCCACCGAATCTGGAGCCTTGGGGGCTCCGGCCCACCGAATATGGAGTGTTGGGGGCTCCCGCCTACCGAATATGGAGCCTTGGGGCTCCCGCCCACCGAATCTGGAGCCTTGGGGGCTCCGGCCCACCGAATATGGAGTGTTGGGGGCTCCCGCCTACCGAATATGGAGCCTTGGGGCTCCCGCCCACCGAATCTGGAGCCTTGGGGGCTCCGGCCCACCGAATATGGAGTGTTGGGGGCTCCCGCCTACCGAATATGGAGCCTTGGGGCTCCCGCCCACCGAATCTGGAGCCTTGGGGGCTCCGGCCCACCGAATATGGAGTGTTGGGGGCTCCCGCCTACCGAATATGGAGCCTTGGGGCTCCCGCCCACCGAATCTGGAGCCTTGGGGGCTCCGGCCCACCGAATATGGAGTGTTGGGGGCTCCCGCCTACCGAATATGGAGCCTTGGGGCTCCCGCCCACCGAATCTGGAGCCTTGGGGGCTCCCGCCCACCGAATATGGAGTGTTGGGGGCTCCCGCCCACCTAACATGGAGCGTTGGGGGCTCCCGCCCACCTAACATGGAGCGTTGGGGGCTTGAAAAAAGCAACGGGCTCTAAAATCTGCCCCTCGGAGATGATGGTGGTCATCTCTATTCCATGAAGGGAGAACAGAGCCATGGGTGACGCTGATTTTGAGATCTCACGATGGTCACCGCGGATCCTCTCCGCTCGGGGGAACCGAAATTCTATTTCAATTCAGTTAAAGCTGCAGAATAATTTGGACCCCTCAGAACGCAGCTGCCGCCTGCCGCATCCTCGTCAGGTTCTCCGCCGCTCGCTAAGTGATCGGCAGCAGTAATTACAGCTAATACAATGCAAATTGGGTTTGTTATCTGGAGCGTGAACAACTGGGAAAGGTGATCAATTCAGATGACAAGAGAACGCGCGCAATCATCGCTTCTACCAAGAAAGACGCCTTTTTTATGTGGCAAAAAATTTGTCTTTCATGATCTGCCGCCAAGAAATGGAAATGTTGTTTGTTTTACAGAGTTGTCTGTGTGCTGAGGACGCTGTGTGCTGCAGTGTGAAGCAGGACAGGCAACCAATGGAGATCAATGGTGAGCTATGGAGATCAGTGGAGGTCTATGGAGATCAGTGGAGGTCTATGGAGATCAGTGGAGGTCTATGGAGATCAGTGGAGGTCTATGGAGATCAGTGGAGGTCTATGGAGATCAGTGGAGGTCTATGGAGATCAGTGGAGGTCTATGGAGATCTATGGTGATTAGGGGTGGTGAAGCTTCCCAACCAGTAAGCATCGATCCGGCATCCCAGCCAATTAGGAAGCTAGGAGCTAGGTCCTTACCTGCAGTCTGGCTTCCTAATTGGTCGGGAAACCGCCTCCATGCTGTTTGCCTGACCCCAAGCCGTTTGCCTGGCTCCATGCTGATTGGCTGGGAAGCCGTCTTGCCAGCCAAACAGCATTGAGCCGGCTTCCCAGTCAATCAGAAAGCAGGACGGCGAGTCATTACTCGTCACCCTGCTTCCTGATTGGCCAGAAAGCCGCCTCCATGTTCCCCCACGACACTGACGGCCAGAGGAAATCTGACCGGAAGTTCTGGTATCGGTGTAATATCGGAGCATTTGGGCGAATACCAGTACTCGCCAAAATACTCGGTATCAGCACCGATACCAATACTAGTATCAGTATCGGTCCAACCCTAAGGGAGATCTATGGAGAACAATGGAGGTCTATGGAGATTGTTGGGCCATGTGGGAGGAATCTGTAAGTGTATCTAACGCCAATTTTTCTTTTTCAGCTTTGGATAGAACAGTGAAGGGTTAAAAGAAGGTTACCAGTGCTAAAATATATTGGTTTTGTATATTATATACCATCCCAGAGTATGGCGGTGGTGGAGATGTGCAGAATAACGGACTGGCAGCTCCTACACACCGGAGGATATCAGGGGTCACCTTGGGCCGTGATAGGGATGAGTGGATCTGGAATGGAAGAGCCGCACTGTATGGATATTAAATCCAAGATACAAGTTTATTCCAATGGCAACATGTAACTGTAATTCCCTCCTCATTACCCGCCGCCCGGCTTCCTGATCGCCCGGGAAGCCCCGATATCGGTGCTTGGTATCAGTGAGTACCAATATTAACATATCAGTACTCATACTCAATACCAAAAAAACAGTATTGGTGCATCCCTAATTGTAATATATCCCCCCCACTTCCAGGCGTCATTGTAATATATCCCCCCCCCC